AAAAAGGGCTGGGGATGTGGCTCAGTGGTTAAACATCCTTGGGTTTGATTCTTGATACCAAAACAAATAAATAAAATTTTAAAATGAGCAGAATGAGGAAGAACAGGCAAACAGTAATTTGACTGATTTCTATTCCCTGTTCACTGAATAACTATGAGCTGTACCAAGAGAAAATATTAATGTTCACATTTTATGAGAATTGAAACTAGTGAAATAATTATAAAACATTTCTGAAGGATTAAGAATAAACCACAAGAGTTACAAAGGGGCGCAAGAGAGTCCTCTGGGAAAGCCTTGTCACAGTCATATCTGTTTAGGTCTAAATTCACAGACAGCACTGGAACTGGAGAGGCAGGGCACCAAGGAGAAATTGACATTGAAGCTTTGTGGGGTTTGCAGTGTTCTGAGAAAGGTATCGGTAGTACACGCAAAAGTCCAGGGGACTATGAACTCACAACCAACAATCACCAGTCACACTAAGACACTAGTCACCAGTCACCGTAAGCTTGTTTCAGCCACAGCAACAAACTATAGGTTCAGACACACGAACGCCTTACATACACCCTGCCTCCCAAAATACTACAATTATCACAGAATTCAAAATAAGGATTTTGTATGTTCAAAGAAAAGAAAAAAGGGCCTAATAGAACTATCCTTAATTATAAGAAAAGTTTGGAAAAAGTACCAAGGCAACACTTCTAAAAACAACAACAACAAAAAAAAACAAAAACCCACAATAACTCTAAAAAATAGCAAAAGAGAAGTTAAAGAGGTGAGAGGGTGGAGAGGTGGAGGGAGAAGACAAAATTAGTGAACTGGACAACAGATCTAAAGAAATTATCCAGAATTCAACAGATAGAGGAAAAATATGTAGAAAATATGCAACCAAGATTTAGAGATCTGGAGAAGTCGGGGAGAAGGTAAAACACAAGGCTAATTTGATTTTGTGAAGGACTGAATAGAGAGAACACAGGAGACAAAAAATTCAAAGAGATAATAGCTAAGAACCTTCCATAATTCACAAAAGGCCTAAATTAAGCATTAATTTGGGATGATGACAAGAAAGCCGTAGCTAAACACATTGTGATGCGATGACACAAGGCTGTGGAACACCAAAGACAAAAATCTTAAACATGACTTGGGGAGAGAAGACAGAGTAGCTACAAGAATATTAGTCACACTGACAGCTGTCACTTCAGAAGCAAAGGAATAACTGAAGAAAGAGAATGGAGGAGAAATATCAGAGAGAAGACAGCTGTCAACCTAGACGTGTTCACCCAGCTAGCTTTTTTAAAAAAATATTTTATCTAGTTGTGCATGGACAGAATACCTTTATCTATCTATCTATCTATCTATCTATCTATCTATCTATCTATCTATCTATCTATCTATCTATTTATATATATGTGGTGCTGAAGACCAAACCCAGTGCCTCACACGAGCTAAGCAAGCAGTCTACCACTGAGCTACAGCCCCAGCCTCCAGCTAGCTTTTTTGAGAACAATAAAATGGAAACTTGTAGGTAAGTCTAAACAAACATTGACTCTATAAAATAATTATATTTGGAGTTAAACCTAGACAGGACTAAAATTCTAGACAATAATGTATTTGTAAATTTAGGGGAGACTATCAGACAGTTCTAAAGTCTCTAATGTTTAGGAAGAGAGTAAAAATATTAACTTTAGATTTTGTTAACTGTGCAAGTTAAATTTCCTGATAAGCACTAAAAGATAAAATTTGAATACTTAACTTATATAAACTATTACAAGTTAACATAACAAAACTCAATCTAAAAGAAGACAAGAAAACAGGGCT